CAATTTCTCATTAGAGAAAGCCCGTGTAGGCCAACCCAGGAGGAAGGGGGACAGTTGGGCTTGCGGCTGTCAAACTGTCAGCACGAATTGAGGTTAGAGCCGAACTCGAGTCCCGCCAAGTGAAAGTGAAATGTTGCCGAAGACTTGTTAATTGGCTTTTAATTGTTGAAAAATATTATGCGTTATTATTATGGCACAGTCGACGGCTTTTCGAATGGTAACACCGTCAAAAGTGTGACCAAGAATCAGGCTTGCTTTTTCCATTTATACCAAAAGGTGGCTTTATATTAACATACATCTATATTAGGTACTTTCTTTAAGCGTTTTATTTGGCCAACATCTTGGTCGAATATTCCAGTTTCCAGTTTTTCCGATGCGTCGCTCTTGCGCAATACTGCCCAACACTGCTTTGCCCTACACAACACTGTGTCCAACACTTCTCCAACACGCACGAAAATTTCTGCCCAAAATGCGGCGCAACTTTCACTTTTACTTTCGTAGCGAGAAATGTGCGTGCCAAATGTGAGGCAACAACAGCAACAACAACAGCAACAACAACAACAACAACAACTTTAACATAATAATAAAGCGTCGCTTCGTTTCGCTTATATTATTTAATTATTTTGTTGGTTTTATTGTTTGGTTTTGCGTTGTCGTCATTGTTTGTTTTTTTGGCCTCATTTCGAAGTTGGAGTTCAACGACCGTCTGTTTGTCAATGTTGTTGTTGCTGCTGTTGCTGAGTTATGGCTCCTTTTTGTGCTTCCTCTTCTTGCTCTAGTGGTTTCTTTATAACGTGCGAAATACGCTGAACTGTTGCTTCCGCCGCATTAGTTTGCATTCAATTTGAATAATCAAATGACTCAAATCTCTGACTCAGGCACAAAGTTGCCCTCAATAAATCAGAAGTGTTTCAATTTGGATTGAATGCATCGCCATGAATCATCCGTGGAGCAACTGCAGCAACCGAACCAACTGTCCCTGACATAGCTCCTGCCACACGTTGACTACGTGACTCCATGCGCTAGCCGCAATTCCGATTTGCATTGTATTTATGTATGTCTATCTCTCTCTGTTTGGGTCGAGACAGGGCCAGCGTAGTCGTAAATGAAGCGAGCGTAAACACGTAAATGACAACAAATTGTATTTTAACGGCTCGTCAAACAAATCTCATTACAAAGCTGCCTTCAAATGAAATGGGAGCTGCCTTCATGTCGCCGCAGTCGCTGTCATGCCGGGCGTATGCGTGATACGCTTCTTGGCGCCATCCACGGTAAAATGCTGCAAATTGTTGCAAAAAGCTCGCCAAAGCTTCGTTTGGGCGCGCTCTTAAGTTGCGGCAAACTCAACACAGTGTGTTGAAAAGCTTTGCAGCATTAAGAGCGCATGCAAGAGAGCATGCGCCAAAGAGCGCAAAAGTTGCAACGTGCTCTTATTTTCTAGTTGTTTGCTTTTGGCGCCACGAGCATTGAACTTTTGTTGCGCCAGATGTTGAGATAACGATAAAGCGCTGCTCAAGAGCTTGTTGCAAGCTTATCAGCGCTTGAAGCTTATCAGTTCTTGAACTTGCAACGGCTACAACTGCTACAGCTTGTGTGTTTAGCATACGAATTGCAGCTAAGCAAGTTTAATTATAATTTAACAAATATCTTAAATATAAGTTATAAACAAAGCAATTGTTTCACTATAATTAAACTCATTTGGTTCTATGACTAACCCGCCAGTTCTTATCAGAATTTGACGCTCGACGCAGTTGTTTTCTGGTTTGTTGGCCCCTTCCAATTACTCACGGAGCTTTGTCAACGCTCTCTTGCACGCGTTCGTTCGCTCTCTCTCGCTCGCTCTCTCTCTCTCTCTCTGAGTCAGCTCTCTTTGGAACTTTGCGTTGGTCGTTGGCTCTGCCGCTTTTTTGTGCTGTGAACGGTGGCGGCTTTTTCAGTTGCTTTTTCCGTTTCTGTTTCTGTTGTTGCTCGACTCGTCTCAGTCTCGGTCTCAGTCTCGCAGCTACCTTTGGGTATATTCGTAACGTGCTTTGCTTTTTACAGTTAGTCGCGTTCGAGACCTTGTCGAGTTTTGTCATGTTAGCGAATTATTTCAATAAAAGTCCAAAATACACTCTACCACGATTTATGTGTATTTCAACGTTCTATTAACCGTCTCTTAAACAATTACAACTAATTTAATTCAATGAAATTAAACAAATATGCATATTGCAAATATAATTACAAATATGCAACTCTGTTAACGTGAAGAAAAGTCGACCTGTCTCAAATCTCAAGTTCCAGTCCCAGCTTCCACCCGAAACACGTTTGTTGGATTACGCGGTAAACCAAAAGAAGTTCAAACCACAAATTGAAAATATAAATCAATTCTGCAACTGCAAAAGTTCAGCGAAAGAAATTCCAAAAATTATTCTTATAACAAAATATTTACAAGAAAAGTTAAATCTGAAAAAAAAAACCAAGCAAAGAAAGTTCCTGCATTGAAAAAAAAAAAAAAATATATATATATATATATAGATTATATACGTGTATGTTTAGAAAATATTAAGTGAAAATATTAAAAGAAATTTGTACAAAACAAATCAAGCAAAGGAAACAGAAATATTTTTGCAATTACCTGTGGAGCACCTGAGCTACAAGTTGAAAGTTGAAAGAATATATAACTAAAACAAATTCACCAGTTACCCCAAAAAGAAATACTTAACCAAAGTTAAACAAAAGCATAAATTGTGTGTGCCAAAATAAAAACCAAAAGGAAATTTAATGAATATTCCAAACGTTATTTAAATGCGCCCCAGTGTGCAGCAAAACGAGAATCTTGAATCTCTCAGTGGGTGTGTGCCAACTCTGTGAATGCAACCAGCCCAGAGCATAACCAAATCAAATTAAACAAGCCCCAATACAAAACAACACACAGCTTAAAATGGGCGAAGAACTACCAATATTGAAAGGCATACTCAAAGGCAATGTCAACTATCACAATGCGCGTAAGTTGACAAAAAATTAGCTCAAAGTACTCACTCGAAACTCCAAGCGGGTCCAACTGGGTCGTCGTTCGCTTTCGGTAGCCCGTCGCAGCGCAGAACAACGGGCAAATGCAGTTATGAGCAGCCCAGCAGCTAGCCAGTGCATGATTAAATACGTGTAATAATAAGCACTATTTACATGGGCACGCCACAGCTTTGATTTTGATTTGTTTACATTTTGTTAACATGCTTTTTTTTTTCAAGCAACAGCAACTAACTCTTAAAGCGCCATTGAAGTGTTGACCTCGTTTCTGAACGCACACAAAAATAGTGTTTTTTTTTCTCTTCTACTATTCTTCAACTATTTTTTGTTTCTTATGTTTTGTTTGCGCGGCCGCGGAAGAGCTTTTAACTTGAAATGAAACTCTGGCAGCGACGCAGTCGACATGCGACGGCGTTGCCCACTTGTGCGACTTTTGCTATTTTCTAAAAAGCAACAACAACAACAGAAACAACGGCAAACAACGAAAGCTGCCTCTCTTCATGTTTGACCAACTTTGCAGCGTCGAAAGTAGACGCAGGCGTCGCTGCTGCTGTTGGCGCAGGCGTCGCTCGCTCGCTCCAATTTCTACGCGCAGTCGCAGCTGCGTTCATTTTCCATTTCGTTTGACCTGAATTTCGCTGCCAGCCAACTGGGTCAGTCAGTCATTCAGTCAGTCAGTCAGTCAGTCAGTCAGTCAAGCGATTTCTCGGCTGCTGCGCGGCTGCTGTGGAAAAAGTAGTGAAAAATCTGCAAAGCCTCGTTTGGTCTCTGCCAGTTGCTGCTGCCGCTGCTGTTGTTGTTGTTGTTGTTGCTTTTGCTGTTTCACTTTTGTTACCGATTTTGTTGTTGTGTGCCAGTTATTTGCGGCAACTGAGTGAAATTGTAGAAATTGCATTGACATTGAAAAGTTGGCCAGCATTTGTTTTGGGAAATGAATAGTTCAGGCCTAAATATCGCAGCTAATCACGGCAAGGTATTCAAATTAGTTTGATTAATGATTAGCTTAAGTCCTCGGGCAATTTGCAGAAAATGTGCTGTCTAACAAGAAGCAGAGAGATTAAGAGAGAGATTGATTGAAAGAAAGAGCGCAGTTAACAGTGGGAGCTTGCCAATTGGAATTGGCTGCAATTAGATTCTAATCAGCAAAAACTCAAATTTATGTTAAAAATAGTAAAAGCATTTAATTTAAATGCTAGAAAAAATGTAAAATAATTTGAAATTAACTCTCAATATAGGTGAAAGTATATTTTTGTACTTAAATTATCTATTTATCAAGCACACTTTCTGGAAGTTCTAATTAGCGAGTGTTCACTGTAATTGCTTGCTGCACAGAGTATAGCAGCTTGTTAGTTTGGCCTATGAACAAATGGATAAGTCTGCATTTACTGGGCTGAGCTCAGCTTAACCCACTTCAAACACTTCACTCAATTAGCGGCTGCAACTTTGACAGCTTTTTTGGCCCAGACTCTGGCCCAAACGCCGATCGCTGATCTGCAAAACGTGACCAGAAACGTGTCTGCGCTAGCTTGGTGAAATGTGAAAGTTCACCCACATACAAATTCGTTAGTGCAAATTAAAATCTACAAACTGACAAAAGAAAAAGAAAAAAGAGAAAGTGTAGCAAGCGTCAAGAACGAGTCCAAAAAAAAAAAAAAAAAACGAAAAATGAAAAAAGAGTTGAACGACAGCTGAGCGCAGGCAATGACCCAGTTGGAAGGGCAGCGTCTGTCGAGTGGAGGGCGCGGGGCACGGGGCGTTGCTGGCCATAAATTACAGGGCCAGCGCCTGTGTACAGTGAGCTCTCTGTACAGGTATGACAAGCGCTTCCTGCGTGACAAACAGAACAACAGCTGCTCCTTGCACCTGTTCGCCGAAGTGTGACACCTTTGTATATACATAAGCTCCTACATATATATATATATATATATAAGACTTGTAGCTGTGCGTGTTATTAATTTGCCCCCTCTTCTGCTTCTTTCCTCCCGTTGCAGCTGTGCGCTTTGGTCGCGTGCCCAAGCGAGAGAAGGCGCGCATTTTGGCCGCCATGCAGCAGAGCACACAGAATCGCGGCCAGCAGCGCGCCCTGGCCACCGAATTGGACGATCAGCCACGCCTACTGGCCGCCGTGCTGCGCGCCCATCTGGAGACATGCGAGTTCACCAAGGAGAAGGTCTCGGCGATGCGACAGCGCGCCAGAGACTGCCCATCGTACTCAATGCCAACCTTGCTGGTAAGTGAAAGCCCATCTTAAAGTCCAATTGGTATAGAAATATCCAATTAGATTATGTATTTCCCGATCCCATTGCATAGAGTGTAGTTTAGAGGCAAATGTTGTGGCAAAAGGTTGTCGCGTAGGCGAGTGTCAAGCACATTTCCGGGGCACATTTATTGGCATGCACAGATCAACAACAACAAGCTAGTTGCTGGCGCGCGTTACTCATACGCCAAGGTGAACCAGTTTGCATGATTCTAAACCAGGAAATCAACGGCATCGCACGTAGACGCGTCTACACACACACACACACACACACACACACACACACACACACTGTTCTGCTATGCGGCAAGACCTCCACCTCCGGCATGGCCAGAGACAGAGTTAGCCACAGCCATAGCCATAGATGGGGGCATTGAAGCGTCGCGCTTTGGGGTCAAGTTCTTGATGGCCCTAAAACGTTTGTTGTTGTTTCTGCTCTTTCGACTTTGGCCAAAAGCTGTCAATGTCAAATGCGACTGACGGACTGACAAACATATGATAAATGGGTTGTAAATTCTGTCATTGACTCGATTCGAATGTTGGCCTAACTGCTTACAACTGACGTCATTGTTCAGGTGCGGGTGCTTCACACAGACAGGCACAGATACTTGGGCTGGGCTCACAGAGATCTGGCAAGGCCATCAATGATAGAGCCGGGCTGCATTACGACTGGGAATATCCCAATTCAAATTGCATATTGCTGGAATTTCTCGCTCACGAGCGTCGCCTGTCTATTTCCAGCAAGGCGGGGTACTTTTCTATTTTTCAAAGTGTAATCGCCACATTTGTGGTCCCCATATAGCAAAGCCCCAAAGCGTTATCGAACTGGACGATAAGGAAACCAAAAAACCTAAGCGAAGCGTGTTCCGACAATAACAAAATACATTTCCGAAGCTCAAGGTCAAGCGTAGCGTCATTATTAATGGAACACACACACACACACACACATGCACACTGCGAAGAGAGTGGGAAAGAGATGGCGAGCATGGCATAGAAGGGGCGAAAGTGTTCAGATAGTCAAGCACATGTGGCGGCTGTTTAAATAGATTCGAATTAAACATTAACATAATCAGACGCAGGGAAGGGAGGTTGTGAGCGTCTTTCTATTTGTTATTGGCTAATTATCAGGCAGTTGCGTTAATGAGCATGCGATAAGGTGCGCGGCCAGAGAGCGCGATAGTAAACAAAGCATTTCCATTGTCAAAGTCAAGTGCAAGGCTCTAGCAGCGACAGCAATGACTATGTAAGAGCTTTTTACATAGCCAAAGAGAGTCCAAAAACGATCAGACAACGTGTGAGCGGCAGTGGGAGAGGGAGAGGGAGTGTGAGAGAGACGCGTCGCTGCCAAAAGAATAATTTGCACATGTCTGCAGCGTAGTATAATCACACACACACACACACACACACACACGCACACACTTAGAACGCTCGCATGCGAGTCGCGAGACGACCTTGTGGCGAGTTATTTTTTAACCTTGGAATGAATGAAATAGTTGTGCCTGTGTGTTGCTTTTTTTTTGCGCATGTTCGTGTGTATGTATGCATGTAGTTGATATGGCTATTATATATAGAACTACTTACGTATGTATGTACGTATATGAGTAAGCAATAATACTTACATAATAATATACATATAAAAATTATACAAATATGCATAGTGCTAGGCACAGGCGGGCAACGAGGGGCTCGCAAATGTTAATGTAAATGTCATCAGCATGAGGAAGCGAATGCAAAAGGCAGACCCCAACGACTGGCACAACGGCACTTTTTACGACAAGCGCCGCCAAAGAGAGAACGTACAACTAAAATGCCAACAACAATTAGCACAACAACAAGCGTTATTAGTGATTTGTAATGCGAGCGAGCGAGAGCGAGAGCAAGAGCAAGCGCTGGCAAGCGAGGCTGTGCCAAAAGCGAGGGTGCGAGGGTGCGAGCGAGATGGCGAGCACAACGACGCAGTTCATTTGAATAAGTCAGGTGGTTATATTGCAATATATGCAATGCTTATAAGGAAGCGCCAGCCGCGCATTCTATGCAAAGTTCTATTGAGTTATGACTGCACATGAGACAAGGCGGAAGCGCAGTGTTGCAAAATACAAAACTAATAATATGTATAGCAATTTCTATATTGTTGATTAGACTTGGGCTTGTATCAGCTACAAGAATTCTAGGAATTATTTTGGCAGCCAAAAATTTAAATTGAAGGTCTTGTGATACGCATGACGGGCAGCATACAAGATGTGGGGGGATCTAACAGCAAGGGGGTTTTAGTCATAAAGAGAGCACACACACACACACACACACACATGCGCTCACAGGCAATTAGTATTTTCGCAAACTATTTCCGCTTTTGCGCAAATGAAACGCAAATACAACAAGAAATATATTTTTATAAAATGATACGAATCCCATGCCGAAGGCGACGTCGACGACGACGACGACGCCGACGCCGACGCCGACGTCAAAGTGCCGGCAAAAGGTGCAGAAAATAGAAAAGAAATGTCTTATCGTTGTTGTTGTGCCGGTTGCCGGCATATTGTTGTTGCTTTTGCTTGCACTTGGCGAAGGCCAACATCGCGTTGTGGCGGAGAAGGGGGAGGGGGCGACTATGGATGGGCCGGCATTTTGGGGCGCGAAATTTTCAAGGTTAATCAGACAAATTCAGAGGAAGTCTTCGACGTGTGCTCTTTGAAACAGAACGATTGTTGTACAGTTATAAACACACACACACACACACACACACACACACACACACACATACATAAACATATGTACGAATCTGTGTGCAATGAAACATAATTTATAAATTAAGAATCAAGAGCAACAAGGCTGCCAGATGACATCTGGCGGGGGAGTGGGAGAGCGAGTGGGAGGGGGCGCCTGTGATTGGCACGTTCGCGTTTGTCTGGCGCGTGCATGTAATTCGAAACCCGGAAAGCGAACTAGCGAAATAACATGAACAGTGTTTGCAATAGACAGAACAACAGCAGCAAGAGGGTCAGAAACAGTAAGCACACCCCACCACACCCCTCAGCCCGCAGCCCAACCCGCTCACACACACTCGCACACCCGCACACCCGTTGCACCGACGACAATCTAAAAGCCCAGCCGGCACACGCGCAGGCGAATAGAAAAAAAAAAATAAATATAACAGCGACAACAACTAGCCGGAACCTTGAACTCTGGTTCGTCGACCTTGGTGCTAATGTCAGCGACAGGCGACGAAAGCACAAAGCAACGGGGAGAAGAAAAAAAATAACAGAACACAGCACAGAATAGTCAAAGTATGCGAGAGAGTTGGATAGTGCGAGAGAGAGTGAGCGAGAGAGCGAGGGAGCGAGGGAGCGCGGGAGCGAGAGAGGCAGAACCGCCCCTAGAAACTAAAAACTAACCAGCGCGCGCGCTGACGTCGACTCTGAGCTTTTGTAATAAAAAAGCTTCCAGCGAACGTATGAGGAAATGCGACGTTTGACGACAGTTGGGCAAGAGCTAGCTGTGCGAGGGGTGGCTGTGGGGGGCTGAGTGTGCGACTGGGGGCGTGCGGAAGTACTAATAGTTATGATTATTGATTGCAGTTGGAGGTGGGGGTGGAGGTGGAGGTGGAGGCCAGGCGGTTCGGTGACCTTCGCGTGAATAGTGCCTATAAAATGCCGATGACGATGTGGGAAATGCAACAGTTTGCCTTGCCGCATTCTAAGCAATTAAGTCGCCACGGGGGGCAAGCTACAGTAAACACAGCCTAAACTAGAACTAGTGTCGGTATTAATGCTTGGCCAGCTTGCCTACGTTTTAAAAGTGAAAAGTTAATCCAGTTCTTAGTATGGAATATATATACCCGAAACAACATAGGAACCATATCCTATCCCTTCTAAAAATATAACAAAAAATCAAAAAGTGAAATGGAACAGCCATAGACCATCAACAATACTCATACATGCACATTCCCACATACACTATTCTCGGATTTGAACCATCATCTTCTAAAAATTTAACTACAAATCAACAACCCAGGACAATACAATATCCCATCAGCATCTATACACATTCATACACATCTATATACAAACAAACTCATACATTCATACACTATCTGGGGATTTGAACCAGCACCCACCAAACAGGAACACTTCGCTATTGAAGCTAGTGCTTTTCTAAGATTCTTAATGGAAAAGTTATTGTAGGATCTATACACCAAGCATGCACATCCATACACATCCATATACACTTATATACTGTCCAGAGATTTGAACAATCCAAGGCAATACAACATGAATACATTCATGAATTCATTAATACACATTCATACACAGTCCTGCGAGTTGAACCAGCATCTTCTAAAAGTTAATTATCAAATTATCCACTCGGGACAATACAACATCCATTCATCAACATACACACTCATCCACATTCATACACATGCATGTTCATCCACATATTCATACACAAGCTTTGGATTTGAACCTGTACCCTTCAAAAAGTGGGAAAAAGCTAAGAGTGGGAGAAAGCTAAGAGCTGGCCATATGACACACCCGCCTAGGATTTGAACCAGCTGCCTACTTAGACCAATGGCATTTTGGCGATATAATTGTAGCTTGTAAAAACTTGAAAAGGAACACATAATTAAGCCCTCGCATTTTATTCTCCTTTCATTGAAGGCCTGTCCGCTCAATCCCGCGCCCGAACTGCAGTCCGAACAGGAGTTCTCGCAGCGCTTCGCGCATGTCATACGCGGGGTCATTGACTTTGCGGGCATGATACCCGGCTTCCAGTTGCTCACCCAGGACGACAAGTTCACGCTGCTGAAGGCGGGCCTCTTCGACGCGCTGTTCGTGCGGCTAATTTGCATGTTCGACTCGTCGATCAACTCGATCATCTGCCTGAACGGGCAGGTGATGCGCCGCGATGCCATCCAGAACGGGGCGAATGCCCGCTTCCTGGTGGATTCGACGTTCAACTTTGCGGAGCGCATGAACTCGATGAATCTGACAGACGCCGAGATCGGACTCTTCTGCGCCATTGTGCTGATCACGCCGGATCGTCCCGGTCTGCGCAACCTGGAGCTCATCGAGAAGATGTACAGCCGCCTGAAGGGCTGTCTGCAGTGTATCGTCTCCCAGAATCGACCCGATCAGCCCGACTTTCTGGCCAAGCTGCTCGACACAATGCCCGATCTGCGCACCCTCAGCACCCTGCACACCGAGAAGCTTGTCGTGTTCCGCACCGAGCACAAGGAGCTGCTGCGCCAGCAAATGTGGAGCATGGAGGACGGCGATGCGGCCAGCAAGAGCCCTGCCGCCAGCTGGGACGCCATGGACGTCGAGGCGGCCAAGAGCCCGCTGGGCTCCGTCTCCAGCACAGAGTCGGCCGACCTGGACTATGGCACACCCAGCAGCACACAGCTACAGCAGCAGCAGCCGCAGCAACAGCAGCAACAGGCTGCCACAACGCCCCAGTCCCATCATGGTGCGCCCTCGGCGCTGGCCAGCTCCGCGCCGCTGCTCGCCGCAACGCTCTCCGGCGGCTGTCCGCTGCGCAATCGCGCCAATTCGGGCTCTAGCGGGGACTCCGGTGCTGCCGACCTGGACATTGTCGGCTCGCATGCGCATCTCACTCAGAACGGTCTGACAATCACGCCCATTGTCCGCCACCAGCAACAGCCCCAGCCCCAGCCGCAACAGCAGCAGCAGGTGAATCACCATCAGCAGCATCCCCAGCTGCACCATCACTTGACCTCGGGCGCCACACGTTACCGCAAGTTGGACTCGCCCACAGATTCGGGCATCGAGTCGGGCAATGAGAAGAACGAGTGCAAGGCGGTCAGCTCCGGCGGCAGCAGCTCCTGCTCCAGTCCGCGCTCCAGCGTCGATGATGCCCTCGACTGCAGCGATGCCGCTCAGGCGGCCACAGCGGCGGGCGTTGCTCAGCTGAGCGTCTCCGTGTCGCCCGTACGCTCGCCCCAGCCCTCGAGCAGCGCCAACCTGAAGCGCCAGATAGTCGAGGACATGCCGGTGCTGAAGCGCGTGCTTCAGGCGCCGCCGCTCTACGATACCAACTCGCTGATGGACGAGGCCTACAAGCCGCACAAAAAGTTCCGGGCGCTGCGTCATCGTGAGTTCGAGACCGCCGAGGCCGATGCCAGCAGCTCGACCAGCATGCCGGCGCACAGTCCGCGCCAGAGCCCCACGCCCCACTCCGCCCACATCAGTGTAGTGCAGACGCCCCCACCAGCCGGAGCAGCAGCAGCAACAGCATCTGCAGCGGCGGCCAACAGTCAACTGCACATGCATCTGACGCGCAGCAGTCCCAGCCAGCAGCAGCAGCAGCAGCAGCAACAACATCAACAACAACAACAACAACACCAGCAGCAGCAGCAGCAGCAGCTGGGCTCAATGGCCAGCACACACTCGGTCCTGGCCAAGTCCCTGATGGCCGAGCCGCGCATGACGCCCGAGCAGATGAAGCGCTCGGACATCATTCAGAACTATTTGATGCGCGAGCCGGCGACAGCGGCCAGCAGCACAACGGGCGGCGGACGCAGTCCGAGCAGCCATTGCCCATCGCCCTCGACCAGCTCCCCGCCGCCGCCGCCCCAGCAGCAGCTGCAGCAGCAGCAGGCGCGTTGGGCCACCACCAGCTGCCAGCAGCGACAGCAGTCCGTCTCGCCGCACAGCAACGGCAGCAGTTCCAGCTCCAGCTCCAGCTCCTCATCCAGCTCAACCTCCAGCAGCAGCAGCGGCAGCGGCAGCGGCAGCAGCAGTTGTCAGTATTTCCAGTCGCCGCACTCGACCAGCAGCAGCAGCAGCAACTCGGCCTCCTCGAGCGCGGCCACGTCGACGTGCATTGTGGCGGCGCCGCCGCGTGCCTCGCCCATGATCGAGCTGCAGGTGGACATTGCTGATCCTGCCCAGCCGCTGAATCTGTCCAAGAAGTCGCCGACGCCGCCGCCAAGTAAGTTGCATGCGCTTGTCGCTGCTGCCAATGCTGTGCAGCGTTATCCAACACTGTCCGCCGATGTGACGGTCACCGCTGCCAGCAGTCCGGCTGTCTCTGCTGCCACGCCCAGCGGCACACCGCCCACCAGTAGCAGCAGCAGCAGCAGCAGCAGCAGCAGCAGCGGCAGCGGCAGCAGCAGCACGCCCAGCGGTCTGCCGGCCGTGCACAAAGTCATGTTGGAGGCGTAAGCGCCGCTCCGGAGCTGAGCTGATCTGAGCTGAGAGACTGAAGCGCGGGGCGTGGTCGAACTTTCCTTAACACTGCAGCAGCCACGCCCCAGCCCCCCATCCCCATCCGCTAAAGGGGCAGAGAGACCACACAAAAGAAAACGTAATTTGATGCGGCGCAAAAAAAAACAACAAATCCCACAAAAAGAAAGCCAGCAAAAAAAAATATAAAAAAAAAAAAACAAACAAATTTAATTAAATTATTTTAACTTTAAAAGAAATTCACAAACAACAAGAAAAAAAAAACAAAAACAATGAGCAAGTGTACAAAGTTTCAAAATGCATGCAATTTAAATGTTTAAACTAAAAGTTATTAACTAAAAAAGAAAAATGAAAAAGAAAAAAAAAACAACAAATTTGGACGCAGCTGCGTCGAGGTATTAAAATGTGGGCAAAGGCAACAATGCATATAAACCATATATATTTTTAGCAGTAACAAATGCAACAACAACAACAACAATAAAAAAATAAGAAGATGATGAAGAAGAGGAAGAAGAACAACAACAACAACAGACACACACACACAAATGAAAATCATGATATTTTCCGAAAGGTTTCCCTTTGCAGTCGCCAAAATGCTTTTCAAATTGATTTGTCACACGTTTTCTATTTTCTATTTTCTAAGCAAGTCTTTGCTTTTCTTTGCTTCTCTTTTCTTTTCAATTTTCCGATGCTTCTTTTTAATTGTTTTTTTAGTTTTAAGCACTTGTTGTACATACTATTGAAATAATATTTACATTTTAATTATAATTACTATTATTATTATTATTATTATTATTATTATAACTATTATTATTATTATTATTATATTATTATTATTAATATTATTATGTAGGCAAGCAAAGCGTTCAACTACTTGCTTTTTAAAAATGTTTTTTGAAAAAACTGCAAATTTAAATCAAATTTTTTTTTGTCTAATTCTTTGAATACCCCAAAAGAATATTAAAAAAAATTGTGTGAACTTTTTTTTTTGCGATCTCCGTTAACAAAAGCTGTTTTTTGACATGAGAACATGCGCGAGAAATTCAACTAAATTTAAGTTAAAAATTCAGTTTTTTTGAATTACAAAAGTTTAAGATCATAAGCGTTTAACTTTATTGTTTTCTAATTTTAAAAACAAAAAAAAAAAAAACAAAAAAACTGAAGAAAAACCCAACAAAAAATACATATACTTATACATATATGAAAAATGAAATCAAACAAGAAAAAAAAAAACATAAAATAAATAAATACAAGAAATGCTTGAAGAGTTTTAGCAGCAAAAACCCAACGTTAAACATATTTGTTGTGTACATAGTTAAATGTTAAATTAACGTATTTAAAATATAAAATAAAAAATATGCTTAAACAATTCAATGTTTAATTGGCGTCAAAATACAGAAAAAAAAAAACAACAACAAAACTTAGCAGCTGATTAAAACTCTGCAAAAAAATACAAAAAACACAAAAAAAAATAAGAAGAAGAAGAATATTGATATAAATATTATTTAAAAGTAATATATACACTTGCGGTAGCAAAAAACTATTACATTAATTATACATATTATAATTATGCAGTACTATTATGATTATTCTAATTCTTATGATTAATTAATTACTATTTCTTGTGGTAAGCAACAAAAAACCAACAACAACAACAAAAAACAAAGAAAAAAAACAAACACCGGCGCAGAAATTTGTATGTCAAATCAATAAAAGAAAAATTGTTTTAAAAAAAATATAAGAAAAATCCTTAGTTCTTATTATTTCACTTTTACTTTGGCTTTTCAGTTTTTCAGTTCCATTTTTTATTTATTTATCTATTTAGATCAAGATATGGCAAGCTCTTGAGCTGCCGGTTGAAACAAAATTCCGGAATTTGACAGTAGCTTTCATTTTTTAACTACCGCTTTGAATACTATTTGTAATTAATTTCCAATTTTTGCAAATCGTATTGTATGTACTTATATATATGTATATCAATTTGAAAAAAAAAAACAAAAGAAAAATGAAAATGAAAAAAAAAATATTGTTTTGGTATTTGAATTGAAGAGATTGACAGATGAATACAATAAGCATAAATTTATGAAATCTAAAATACATACAAAATACATATACATATACATATAATAAATATATTCTTTTAAAATTTATGCAAGAAGAAGCATCGTCGAATATTAGCAGGAGCAGGAGCAGAAGAAGGTTATAACAAAAACCATAAATAAAATATCACACTTCAATAATAATATATATAAATATATATATACATACATACATATATGTACATACCTATGTATGTAACAATTTTTTGCGTGTGTGTGTGTGTAAAATTGTCCGTAATTTTTAGCAAGCAAGTAAAAAATGACAAGAACAAAAACGATGGAAAACAAAACACAAAAAAAAGTTATGTATTAAAAAACGGAATATTTTATGTATTAAAAAAACAACACACACACTTTGTAGTGCACACAGCAGCCAGCCTGTGTCTGGGTAACTGTTAGTGTTAGTCTGTGTGTGTGTGTGTGTGTGTATGTGAGTGTGTGCATGCGTGTGTCTATCGTTAGGGATAGGGTATTCTGAGGAGAAAGCAGGAAGCAGCGACAACTGAAACAATGAAATTGCGACAATTAAGCGTATAATTAACAAAACGTAAATGTTAAACATAAACTCCAACCGAGAGAAACATAATATATATCTATATATATATATATATATGGAACGATACTTGGCAGAACGAGTATATATATGTACATACATACATAGTACATATATTTTCATCAGTCACAAAACAATTATTGTGAATTGAGCCAATAACAGTTTTTAAAGACAAAGAGCAAAGTACATGCACATCGGGCAGGTATATTAATAGAGGTGTATCTGGAATCTGACAAAGAGCAACTCCACACACAAAAGAACGAAATTTGTATTTGTGAAATAAAATAATAATGCAGTTTGTTTTAAAACCAGAATGGAATATGTGAATAAAATATGAAAATAAGTATTTAAAATATATCAACAGAAATTACAAAAAAAAAAAAAACAAAACCAAACGAATTTTTCATATCAAGTATAATTTTGTATTTCGGTAGTATGTGTCATATCCTCTACATTAATAGGGCTTCGGCTGCTGGCGCTTCTTCTTCTACTTGTGCTTCTTCTTCTTCTCCGTTGGCGATAATTTTCAATGTCGCCGCCTGCATGTGCTTTGGTATTTTGCCCGTGACCTTGAGCGATAAGTGTCGCAAAATGAATTTGGCGAAATAATGAAATAAGCGTCGGCTCGTCGACGGAGGGACGCGTCTAGAGGGTGAACGCTCGGAGCGTGAGAGTGCCTCGTGTAGATAACAGACAGTCAGATAGCGCCAGGCCCGGCTGGATACGGGCAGGGGGAAAATGGGCAAAGTGGGCGCTTACATACATACATATACATATTCTTATTTTAAATAACGGGCGCACAGTGATCGCGGGGTAGTGAGAGGGGTGATGCGAGTGAGGGGGAGAGGGAAAGATGGGGAAATTTGTTATCTTCAAAGTCAATGTCAAAACTGAGGCCAAGGGAGCTGGAGATAAATGCAGAGTGAGATACCAGCATAGATAAGGTGACAACAGGCAGACAGTGCAACCACTTTTCAAACTGTACTACGCGGCGTATGTGTAATATATGAAGAATAACCGCAGAAAGCTGTTGGAAAATCGATTGGCGACTAGTCGATAACAAAGCGAGCTAGAGTCTACATTTGAACTAAGAATTAACATAAAAGCAACGCCTCTCTATGCGATTTTCACAAATTCAAATCAAGTCTAGAGATTCTAATGTTAGCAGAGATAACCAGATCGAGTGAGATGAGAAAGGGCAGAGTGATAAAGGGATGAAAAGGAAAAGGCAAAGTGAATTATTTGAAACTTAAAGGTGTGTATAGGAAATTCCTCTTATTTAAATACACATCTCATTAGTTGGGAATCTCAAAATATGTATTGCCTTGTGGAAAAAGCCTACAGATTTAGCCATCCCCCCTCTGGGCTGTCAATATAAATGCAATGATTTCTGAGGCAATAAAACCTATCAATTTGTTATATGCGTAGGTTCTCGAATGTCATGCGAATACAAATGTGTCCGGGTGTACCTTAGACCTGGGTACAGGGTATCATCTGATCGAGTAAATATGTGCTTGTTTCATTTCAAATTTCCTGCGATATATGTATATATAGTATTTTTGTTGGTTGATTCTTATATTTTTTGCGTATTTCACCTTGAAATCAAACGAGCCTCAAATAAATTAATGCACACAACGCGCGCAAATTCCACGACAACAAATAAAAATACAAATACAACAACAAGTTATACAATACGCCTGTGTGTGTATGTGTATATATGTATATATGTATTTAGAAACAAGAACAAATACCGGGAAAAACAACAACAACAACATTTCAAGGTTAACTGATTAGACGAAATTAGCAAAGTTCTAGCAGATGATTGAACGAGCCAACAGAGCGGGAACAGAACAGTGTAAAGGAGCGGGGTACAATGAAGTGCTGCAGGGGGGGAGTGGCCGATGAGAGCACGCGCTAAATAAAAGACCCACGCAACGCGTTTGCGTACGGTGCGTGTGCGTAGCTCGGCAAGCCGAATCGTTCCCGAAGTAGTCAACGCCAAACCCGAAGTGAGGCCCGTCAAACTCACGCACACGCATGTTGGACTTCCCCGCCGCCCTGCCCACCCTGGCCGCATCTATGGAGTCCCGCAGCGAAACGCTATCCAACACGTCAGATCCAGTCATAATCTGCGTTTTATTATTTAAAAATTTAATTAAAATTGAATCCAATAGATACTTTTTTGGAGCTGGTTAATATTTTATTAACATAAGTTATTATTGGTCTCATTTTGGGCTTAAGTCTCTTATAAAAAGGTTTGAAGAATGTTCAAAAATGACATAATGTATAACTTTTACACTCTATGGTAGGCCTCTGCCATATCTTGCGCAAAACTAGCCTCTGTTCGATTATTCCAAATCCAAATTTAGTTTATTTGTCAATATAAATCTGTATAACTTTGATATTTATAGAAAACTGCAACAGGATGCAAATAAAATAAAGCTCTGCTCGTTTTTGGCCAAAATGAATCAAAGGTAATTTAACAACTCGGCCATAAGGCAGAAAACATAATAATGAGAAAATCAACAACAACGAGAGTGCAATAAAAAGATTAAATTGGACTATAAACAAAAAAGTTGCTCGTTTTTGGAATAAGGTAAATACAATAAAACAAACACACATTTACACATGCATATACGTAAATATGTGAGTACATGCAATACAACATTTCACACAAAGCACAAAGCACACACACACAAACACACAAATGCAAACAAATACAAAGCGAAATGCGCTTGACATTGAACTTGAACTGCAGTGCAGTCGATGACGATGATAGCGGCTGCGACAGCGACAGCGACGCCGACAGCGACGTCGACGTCGCTGATAGCAGA